GGGCTTGGGCCAGGCACACCTTAGTGCTCAGAGTCACGTGCTTCTCAATTCTCCAAAGAGGCCTAGTGCAGCCTCGCCTACTGCAGCTCTGGGCTCCTGCAGGCTCATTGCAGAGCCTTCCAAAGAAAAGGTCCGATCAGACACTGGTATCTCAGGGGTCCCTGGGTCAGTGAAATCGCAGGCAGAGGGGTCAGCTCGGCAGGTTGTGGTAACTCTCTCTTTGTGTGTGTGTGTGGGGGGGTAAGATGCCAAAGGGGTGATCTGGATCTCTTTTCTCGGGCGCAGGGCGGAAAGGCAGGAGTTGCTTCCCAAGGAGACCAGGCCCTGCTCATTCCCTGAGAGCAGCAAGCATGGCATCTCCCTGGGAAACCCGACCACACCCACCCTCCAGGCCCGATCATGCCCCTGCTAAGACTTCCGTTTTTTGCTGTTCCCCAAACTCAAAGGACACTTCCAAGGGACACAGCTTGAGTCCCCTGAGGAGGCTTGCAGAGCACAGAATTAATTCTCTGGGGAAGGGGTCCGGAAACCGGACCAAATTCACAGCCATCCAGTCAATGCCGGCTCAGCGCATCCTCTAGGACAGGGTAGAGCACAAAGCCCTGTCTTTCTCCTGTGGAACGATGGGTGGCTCCGAACTGCTGACCCTGCAGTTAGCAGCCCAACGAGTAACTGTGACACCACCAGGCAGGGCTCTCTGGGGAAGAAGGGTTGGCGAGAGAAACACACAGCCTTCTAAAGTGTAGAGCCCGAGATGGGAGGAGATGTCGGGCGGCAGCATTGCTGCTTCATGGAGGTTTCTACTTCCCATCGCCTCCCAGGCGTCCGTCCGAAAGTTGGACACCAGGTAAGAAAGACTGACGGAGAATGGATGCATTTGGATCGCGGAGCTGGGGGAGCACTTCGAAAGGACCGCGGGCTGCCGAAGCACAAACACATCTGTCTTGGAAGAAATGCAGCCAGACAGCTCCTTGGAGGCCGGACGGTGAGACTGGGTCTCCCGGACTTGGACGTGTTGTCAGGAGAGACCAGTCCCTGGAGAAGGACGTCCTGCTTGGCCAAGAAGAGGGACAGCGAAAGAGGAAGTCCCTTAACGAGATGGACAGACACGGTGCCTGCAAGCGGGGGTTCAGGGAGAAGCACCCTGGGAGGATGGCTCAGGGCCGGGCGGTGTGCATCCTGCTCGAAGTGGTCTTGCTACGAGTCAGACCTACTGGTGACAGCAAAAGCAAGGCAGGTGCCGAGGGGCCGTTCCCCACCCCCTTTCAGATCCGGAACCTTAGGTGTGGGATCCAGAATGTTCTCTCCCCCCAACTGCTCTAGAACATGTTCCCAGAACGACAGTCTTCCTCATGCCCCAGTTCTAGAACATGCTGAGGCTCTACGGCGGCCACTAGGTGGCCACGGGCGAGCCCAGCGGGTCCCCAGGACTACCTGACAGGAGTCCACCTTGCCGTCCAGGTAGCCGGCACACACCATCCTGTCCGTGAGCGAGTGGCCGTAGAGGCTGGTGCACAGGTCTTGGTCCAGCAGCTCCACCGTAGCTTTCTGCAGCACCTCTGGCTTGACCACTGTCCCAGGTGAGATGAGGCAGGGAGGTTCTGGGGCACCGGGCAGCCTCCTCCAGCTGGGGGCTGAAAGATGCCACCTCCACATCCCCGGGCCTCCTTCCCCCAGAATCCGGCTCAGGGATTCGCAAAAAGGGCAAACCAACTAAGAAACCAGGTGCATCCAATTGACCGCCACGGCCTTGTTCAGACGGCACTGAGGGAACACACCCACCCAGGCAGCGGGGAGGCCTCAGACCAGCCCGGGGCCTCTAGCTCCCCACCCACACCTCTGGGGGTGCCAGCTCCACCTGGCAGGTGACCCTCAGTCCTCGCCTGGGTCCTCCGAGTCATCTCTTATCTGGCCCTCTGCTCCCGCTGTCCAGTGTCAGTAACCCAGCACGCAGGGCTGACTTGTGCCTGCCCCAGATCTGTAGTCAACACCCCTCACATCTATTCTGGTCCACCCAAGATCCTTCTTCTAGGTCTGGCCAGCACCTGTCCCTCTCGGGATCCCGCAGCCCTTACCTATAGAATCCAAGCCCTGGTGACCCCCCCGCCCCCACCATTTATAGCCCCTGGCTGCCGGCAGACAGCCCCGGTGGCATGGTGGTTACGAGATGGGCTGCTAGCCATAAGGTCAATAGTTCGAGTCACAGTCTCAAAAACTCACAGGGCATTTGGTCAATTAACCTCCCTCCTGACGAGGCTGAAATCTTGCTCGCTTGTTCCACTACAGGCATTTCTTCTCTGGCTTTTTAAAATAGTGCCGGCGGCCCATTCTCTCTCGCTCTCTTTCTGTATTTATAGCATTGTTAGTTCGTCCTGTTCGTTTTGCTTTTGGTGGTTTCTGTTGGGCGTCCCAGCTTACGGAGCACAGGAGTGGATATGCACAGAGACCAGACTGACACCGTGGCTTATCAAGGGCGGGGTGGGGAGGGCGAGGGGAACCGGGGAGCCGCCAAATGAATGCGGGCAGGCGAGGGAGCGCTAGAACCCATTGTGA